GCTCGATCGAGTCTCTGCTGGATCTCTCCACGATGTTGATCGAGGAGGCGATAGGTCGCCTTAAAGGTTGTCGACAGCGATGAGCCATAGTCTCTCTCGGGGCCCATCACCACTGGCGGGAAGCTCCTTCTCATTCGGGAGCAGTGGGTTGCTTGCCAAGGTGATCGGAAGAAGGGGGAGCCTTCTTCCACGACAGGCGGCCGCAAGCATGGCAAGCCGCGCAAGGCACGCAGAGACGCCCAGGCCGAGGCGCGAGGACTTGCCGAGGGTTATGCCCGCGGACATGCGCTGGGCGGCGCCGCCGGCAAGCACAAGCCGGCACGAGATGACACCTACCGCAACTGCGGCCAGCTTGGCCATTGGGCCAAGGATTATCGACAGCCACGACACGGCCAGGCCCACGTCGCACAGGCGAAGGAGATGGAGCCGGCTCTGTTCATGGCACATGCAAGCATCGAGCTACCTCCAGCGGCATCGGCCGCAGCGGCTCTCCTCCACCTTGACGAGCCAAAAGCACACGCCCTCCTCGGCGACGGCTTCGGCAACGACAAGACTGACGGGTGGTGCCTCAATACCGGCGCCACCCATCACATGACCGGTCGACGAGAGTTCTTCACCGAGCTTGACTCTAGCGTCCGAGGCTCCGTCAAGTTTGGGGATGCCTTCGGCGTGGAGATCAAGGGTGTCGGCTCCGTCATCTTCACCGTCGTGTCTGGTGAGCACAGGCTGCTCACCGGAGTCTACTACATCCCCGCGTTAAGGAACTCAATCAGCAGCTTGGGACAGCTGGATGAGAACGGTTCACGCGTGGTGGTTGAGGATCGAGTCATGAGGATTTGGGATCGTCGTCGTCGCCTTCTTGCCAAGGTAACCAGAATCGTAAATCGACTCTACGTCCTTAACGTGCAGGTGGCACAACCCCTCTGTCTCGCTGCTCGTCGGGCACCTTCACTTCGAGGCCCTGAAGCGGCTCAGTGCCACGGAGATGGTGCGAGGCCTGCCGTGCCTCGACCATGTGGAGCAGCTCTCCGACGTCTGCGTGTTGACGAAGCAGAGGCGACTCCCCTTTGCCCAGCGAGCGAGCTTTCGAGCCAAGGAGAGGCTCGAGGTTGTGCACGGGGACTTGTGTGGCCCGGTGACACCGGCCACACCGGGAGGACGACGCTACTTCCTGCTGCTCGTCGACGACCTCTCCCGCTACATGTGGGTGATGGTCCTCGACAGCAAGGGAGAGGCTGCGGACACCATCAGGCGCGCGTAGGCTGCTGCGGAGGCGGAGTGCAGCCGCAAGCTACGCGTGCTGCGCACCGACAACGGCGGCGAATTCACGGTGGCTGAATTTACGTCGTACTGCGCTAATAAGGGCATTCAGCGCCACTACTCCGCGCCGTACAGCCCGCAGCAGAACGGCGTCGTCGAGCGGCGCAACCAGACGGTTGTGGGGATGGCTCGGGCCCTTCTCAACCAGAGGGGGATGCCGGCTGACTTCTAGGGAGAGGCGGTGGTGTCGGCCGTCTACATCCTCAACTGCTCGCCTACCAAGACGCTCGACGGCAGGATGTCATACGAAGCTTGGCATGGGCGCAAGCCGGTGGTCTCCCCACTTGCGGGTCTTCGGCTGCCTCGCGTTCGCCAAGGAGCTTGCCCACATCAGCAAGCTCGACGATAGGAGCACTCCGAGAGTGTTCATCGGCTACGCGGAGGGCTCAAAAGCCTACCGCATCCTCGACCCGAAGACACAGCGTGTGTGCTTGGCGCGCGACGTTGTGTTCAACGAAGGGCGAGGATGGGCGTGGGACAAGGCGGTGGACGACGGCTCGACTCCGACGTACGACGACTTCACTGTCGAGTACGTCCACTTCGAGGGAGCTGGGGGAGTAGGCAGCTTTTCTTCGACGAGCGCGTCTACCCCAGTCCCCGAGCCTTCACCGACCCCGGCGCCTGCTACTCCGACAGCACCACGCTCTCCAGCCAGGACCTCGACTGCGATGAGTTCTTCGCTGGCTCCCACCACAGCCGGCCCCACCACGCACTCCAGCACCGATAGACACCTCTTCGGGCACATCTACTCCAACACCAGCTCGTGTCGAGCACAGCCCGATTGAGCTCGCTACTCCGCTCTCTCACGACGAGGAGCGCATCGACGCGTACCACGATGGCGAGCCGTTGCGGTACCGTACGATGGAGAACCTTTTCGGCGACCAGCCGGTGTCGGGACTGGTGCCTCACGACCTAGAGGCGCAGTTGCACCTTGCGTGTGACGACGGCGAGCCTCGGTTGTTTACAGAGGCCGAGAGACACGCGGCATGGCGCACCGCGATGTAGTTGGAGATGGATGCGATTGAGAAGAACCGCACCTAGGAGCTTGCTGAGCTTCCTCGTGGTCATCGCACGATCACCCTTAAGTGGGATGAAGTCGACGCCATCGTCAAGCACAAGGCTCGCTTGGTGGCACGAGGTTTCGTGCAGCAGGAGGGGGTCGACTTCGACGACGCCTTTGCTCCCGTGGCACGGATGGAGTCCGTGTGACTCCTCCTTGGCGCTAGCTGCCCAGAAGGGCTGACGTGTTCATCACATGGACGTCAAGTCGGTGTTCCTTAACGGCGACTTGAAGGAGGAGGTCTACGTGCACCAGCCGCCAGGATTTGCGATTCCCGGTAAGAAGGGCAAGGTGCTCCGCCTGCGCAAGGCCCTCTATGGCTTGCGGCGGGCACCGAGGGCGTGGAATGCCAAGTTAGATTCCACGCTAAAGGGGATGGGCTTCGAGCAAAGCCCGCACGAGACGGCCATCTACCGATGAGGCAGTGGAGGAAATGCTCTGCTGGTGGGTGTCTACGTCGACGACTTGGTGATCATCGGCACCAAGGATGCGGAGGTGGTGGCATTTAAGGAAGAGATGAAGGCCACCTTCCAGATGAGTGACCCGGGGCCTCTCTCCTACCTGGGAATCGAGGTGCACCAGGATAACTCTGGGATCACGCTTCGACAGACCGCCTACGCCAAGCGCGTCGTTGAGCTAGCTGGGCTGACCGACTGCAACCTAGCTCTCACTCCGATGGAGGAGAGGTTGAAGCTGAGCCACAACAGCACGACGAAGGAGGTGGACGCTACGCAGTACCGACATCTTGTGGGGAGCCTTCGCTACCTCGCCCACACACGATCGGACTTGACATTCTTCGTTGGCTACGTTAGTCGGTTCATGCAGCGACCGACGACGGAGCACCAGCAGGCTGTTTAGAGGATCATCTGCTACGTTGCGGGGACTCTCGACCACGACCTCTACTACCCTAGGTGCCCTGGGGCGGCATACTTCGTCGGGTACAGCGACAGAGACCACACCGACGACATCGACACCAGCAAGAGCACGAGCGGGATCCTCTTCCTCCTCGACAAGTGCCTCGTTGGCTGGCAGTCGGTCAAGTAGCAGGTGGTGGCCCTGTCCAGCTGCGAGGCCACATACATAGCGGCCTCCACCGCTTTGACTCAGGCGCTCTGGCTCGCTCGACTGCTTGGTGATCTCCTCGGTAGAGACACTAGAGCGGTGGAGCTCAGGATGGACAGCAAGTCCGCTCTGGCCCTGGCAAAGAACCCCATTTCCATGAACGGAGTAAGCACATCCGGGTGAGGTACCACTTCATTCGAGGCTGTTTGGAGGAAGGGAGCATCAAGGCGAGGACCAGCTTGCGGACCTGCTTACCAAGCCTCTTGGGAGGATCAAGTTCGTTGAGCTCTGCTACAGGATCGGGATGGTTCAACTTTCCCACAATGAGAATGATGGGATAAGTCTCTGTGTTGGCTGGTCTTTGTGGGGCTGCAGCATATAGTCCTTGTAGCTGCATGGTGGTCTTACTGTCCATCAAGGACAACATCCTTGATTGGCTAGGACAACATCTTAGCATCTAGCTTGACTGACTAGGACAGCATCTAAGACAACATCTGTTTTAGGACAACATGTTAGCATCTACCATCTTGGCATATGCTTGGCTGTTAGCAGCCTATAAATATGTATTCCCAACCCCTCAGGTTGGCACGACATTTATGTGAGAAATAAACCAAAAAATTGCCCCAACTCTAGTGTCATCCTCTCTCGATGAGTAAGAATTCTGCTCCGATACCAGTTGTTAGTCGTTGAATTCTTACTTTTGGTAGTAGCAGAATTCTTACTCTCATCGAGAGACGATGACACTAGGAGTTGGGACAATTTTCTGGTTTATTTCTCACACAAATGCCATGCCAACCTGAGGAGTTGGGGATACATATTTATAGGCTGCTAGCCAGCCAAGATGCTAGATGCTAACATGCTGTCCTAAAACAGATGATGTCCTATATGCTAAGAAGTTGTCCTAGCCAGTCAAGCTAGATACTAAAATGCTGTCCTAGCCAGTCAAGGATGCTGTTCTTAATGGGCAGCAAGACCACCATGCAGCCATAAGGACCATATGCTGCAGCCCCACAAAGACCAGCCAACACAGAGACTTATCCCATCATCTGATCGCTCAAACCATTAACGTCATCTTCTGATATCTCATTTATCACAGGTTTGTTTGGCATTAGCTTTGCTCGCTCACCAAATCTTAGTGTACTTAAGGTTCCAGATCTGCATCTGCAGTTCCAAATGTACTGATCAACACAAGAATATGTAATAAAAGGTATAAAAGGAGCACAAGAATATAAAATACCTGTGTTCTGAAGAAATCGAACACAAAAATATAGCCCTGGAGTTGCCACCTAGTGTATCCTTCAGCACATGTGTCAAACGGGATTGCTCATGACTAGTTTCTTGAAATGACAGGTGTGTGAGGCTTTGGATTTTCTAAATGAGAGATCATACATTTTTTTCTTAAAAAAAGGGCAATTTGGCATATTGCATTCGGAGGCCTATAGGACATCAAGACAGGGAAACTAATCTAGGTGCACCAAGAAAGATAAAGGAAACGATGAACAGCGGTCTTTGTATAACTGAATCAAGTTGATAGCAAAATAAAATATCAAAGAAGCAATTACAGATTTACATACCCAAGCCTTGAAAGAGACTTCTTAAGATGTCTTTCCTCCTTTGTGGAATGCTTTGCTGCACCATCAAGTTCATCAGTGTCAGGACCAGCAAGGTCAACAAAGGTAATTCTGCTAGTTCTTGAACTGCTAAACCCATTTGATGAACCCTGTGAAGAGAGCAAATCCAAAAGATAAATCAACAGATGTACATCTTATAAACATCTGATAGATTTATTATAATAAGACAGAATACAAAGGTGAAATCCTGAGATTTAGAAAGGCTGACAGTTATTACAGTATGCAACAAAGAACCTAGAGCTAGCAAAAAAAATTAGCATGTACCTTGCTCCATGCTTCAATAATGCAGGTGAATATCACATGAGAGCGGGAACTTTTCAAGTTCATACTGGTGGTGCCAACTTTTCTGTTTGACAGTCCCTGTAAAGAAAAATAGACTTGGTTATGATGAGAACACTAATCCAAAGAACTATCCTACTAATCAAGAGAAGCATCCTTACAAAACAGACTAATCAACAATAGCCACAATAACAATATGACTATGGTAAACAAAACACTGATGCAGTAGCTGCAGCTGTTGTTACAGAAATTTTAGAGATATGCATGCAATAAATACGAATCAAGCGAGTCTTGATATCAAAGCAAGCTTTTATATTCTGGATGGTGTTGCATGCTGGTTACACCAGCGTGATATCTTGGTTTCATTCCACAACAGTATAGAGATGCTCAGATGAAAAGATTACAGTTCAAAAATAATAGGAGAGAAACTAAATGACAAACTTTTGTGTTACTCTTATTGGTGAAATTTGTTCTTATAAGAACATAATCATAACTTGAAATCGCAATATTGGACCTATTCTATTCTCCAACTATAACCTTTACGGAAGCATAATTTTTTTATCTAGAACACATGATGAGCGCTCAAAAGCCTGCTCCATATAAATATATAACTTTAGAAAAAATTAATTAACCACTCCAATAATTTAGATTTTTTTTAGCTTTTCTATATTGCCAACTTGCAAATTCAATAGCAAATTGTCAGATAAACTTGCAAATTCATTGTTCATGCCTGACCAGGGCATCCACTGTCCAGGAACATAGAGAGAACATCATGAATTGGAAGTAATCTTATACCTTCATCAAGATCTGATTGATATCCTCTACTGTTGACACGTACTCATCAGTCAAGTTCTCAACATGGATACCATTGCCAGCATTCTCTTTTATCTAAAAAGAGTGAAGTTGGATGAGATATCTGCATAAACCAATAGCAACTGCAATTTCAGGATAATTTTCTTGTCGAATAATGTACCTGCAGGTCACGCTGAGATGGTTCCAACAGACCATTGATCTGCTCGTTATGTACCTGCAACAAGTTGGAAAAGCAAATCACATATGTTAGTTCTGATTTCAGCTCTAGAAACCATTTCCAAGACACGGTTCAGTTGAAAACAACCAAATTACTGCACACCTCGAGGAACCAGCAACGGCATTGGTAGCTCGTCTGCTTCTCAGGCGAACTCTCTCGCATCTACACAGGGAAGGAGCAACGTCAAGTCAAACAAGATCACTCACAATTTACCAAAAGAGAAAGGACGGGTGAAGAATCTCCTTACTCTTTGGATTCGAGAGAACAGGTTCTGGAAAACCCGAGGAACGATGCCCCGGTCAGCGTGGTCAGAGCCACTGTCAACCATGGCGCCGAGAGGGCCCCACATGGTGTATGTCTTCCCGGTGCCACTCTAGAAGCATCGGACACATACAAGCATCAGCAACAGGAACCGAGGAGCAAAGAACACGATACGGACTGCTTGGATTAGTAGTAGTTAGTACCTGGCCATAGCAGACGAGGGATGTGTTGAATCCAGCAAGAGCGTTCTCGATCATGGGCGATCCTACCAGATCGAACGCATCGGCCTGCAAGCAACCACCAATTCGCAGAATTCGTTCAGAGTCGCTCACGATTGGGCATGCTACTCGGTATGATGCGTTTTAAGCTTGCTTGTATACCTGAGAAGCCCTGTCGTCGAGGACGCCATCCACTAGGAAGGACCGGTCGCCGACAGAGACTGAGTCTGGGGCGGTCTTGCGGACGAACCACAGATCCTTGCCGTCCACCGGCCGGCTCACCGTCGGGCGCACCCTCACCATCACCTGCGCGCATCCCCACAACATCAGGAGCAAGCTCGCAAGTCGCAACCCTCCCGAGATCCCAAATTGCCATGGTAGAAAGCTGGATCCGATGAATCCATGCATGGCACAGTACCTTGACGGAGGGCTCGTCGTCGGCTGGCGCGGTGGTAGCGGCCGTGGAGTGATCGTCCTCGGCGGTGGCAGCCGGCGGAGCCGCAGCCGCTGGCTGCTTCGGGCGTGGCGAGGAGGCGCCCTTGGCGGGCGACGCCGGCGGCGAGGAGGCGAGGTTGGGGTGGAGGTTCTCCTGGTCGGCGGCGCGCGGGGAGGCGGCGCCGGCGAAGGCGGAGAGCGAGCGCGACGCCTGCCGCTTCAGGTTCCGCCGCAACATCTCCATGGCCGCTTACTGCTGCTGCTGCGTAGTACTCCGGCGAGACGCCGATCGGCTAGCAGAATCAAGGGAATCGAGAGCGGGGAGGAGAGGGGAAGGGAGGAGGAGGAGACGAGGAGGGACACTTCTCGCTTGCTTGGATGATTGAGATGCGAGGCGGATGCGCGTGACTGTCCCGTCCGTTGGAATTTAATTCGAAAACTTTTGAAACGGGGGAGGCGGCGGGGGTGGAAAACGATAGCCTAGCGGTCGGCTCGATCCGACCGGCTGATTCGTGATGGACGGTCGGGAGCTGGGCCACATGGGCTCGTGGGAGGTCTCGTACGCTGCCCCGCGGGGTTACCGGACCACAACTAGCCGTTGGGGAGCGGTGTCCGTGCTAAAGGCCAGAACCCTGCGTCGGATGCGTCGTGGAAAGCTGGCGGGCCAGATCATCTCTGGATGAATTACCTAGGCAGCTAGGCTCGATCATTGTCAAAGATTTCCCGGACTCAAGCAAGCTTGACTGCCTGAATATACAGAGGCTCAAGCATTCTTGACAAATTAAGAAACTAAAGAAATATAATCAATGGAACAACTTCTGTAAAAGATCAGCTCTAAAATATAAAACCACATGGGACAAGTTTAGACTACGAAGGCAAACCAATCAGTGAATTTTTTTTCTTTCTAAAGTTGACTTGCGTAGTGGATATCACCAAAGTGGACTTGTATGAATGGTTTCTGGTTTGACTAATGCATCTAAATACTTTCACGCGATTAATTGACAAGATTTTACGTTATTTTATTGAAAAATTTGTGGTGGTTTTTATTTTGATGGTGTATTGATATACAACCAGTCTTTATTTGAACATCTTGACCATTTAAGTGTTGTTTTTGAGGTTTTGCGTGCAGCACGCTTATTTGGTAACCTCGAGATGTGCACATTTTGCATCGAACAAGTATCCTTTTTGGACTATCGTGACTCCGTAGGAGATTAAGGTAGATAAAGTCAAGGTGCACGTTATTTAGAGTTGGCGAACGCCCTTGCGTACTCATATCTTACACAGGGGTATGGACATTGACACACGTTGTCCAGTCTGCTGGCATTTTGATGAAGATGGAGGGCATTGCTTTCTAAAATGCAAAATGGTGAAGAAATGTTGGAGAGCAATATCCATAGAATATATCTGAGTTGAGCTTTTAGAGTTGACCCCAACAAAGAATATGGTGTTGAGTATTCTATCTCGAGAGCAAGATACAAGGGCAAAAGTGATAAACCTCCTTTGGGCATGGTGGGATGCACGCAATAAAGCAAATGTTGGAGAACAAGTGGAGTCGATAGAGGAGGTTGTATATAGAGCTATGTCCATCAATCTAGTTTGCTCTATGCAGTGGCGAGACAAAAATAGATAAACCTATGAAACAAATCGTACGATGGTGTTCGCCTAAATCAGAGTTTGTGAAATTAATCTTGATGGTGCTTTTCTCTAAGGGAGAAAGAGTGGAGCATGGGGTTTTGTAGTGAGGGACCATGAAGGTTCAGTGGTGCTAGCAGGCGCAGGAAAATTGTATAAAGTACATGATGCTCTATGTACAGAAGCCCATGCTTGTTTAAAGCAATCACCGCGGCAACAGATCAATGTATGATGCAAATTTAACTGGAATCAGACTCCCTAGTTTTGGTGAAGGCTCTCAGATCTTCTAAATATGATCATTCAGCTGGAGGCTCTCTGTCCAGAGAGTCTAAATTTCTTTTAGATACACAGTTTGATTCTTTTGAGTTGTGTTATGTTCCACATTCTTGTAACAATTGTGCACATGAGTTAGCTTGCACGGGTTTGTCTTAGGACCCGGATCTATCCTTTTTATGGGTAGATCTCCTCCCAGAGTTTGCAAATACTTCAGTGATCTGTGATTTCCACGAATCCAGTGTGACATAATAAAGCTGTGAGTCTTTGATTAAAAAAAAGAATGCCCACAATGGTCTCATAAGTGCAAAATTTTCATGGACTTACTGGATTTTATCATTGATTTGTGAAAGGTTTCAACATCGTCATCTGCACATTCGTGCTACCATGTTGTGCCCTTGCCGAGGCACCTCACACACCCACGGTGGTGTAGCAAGCATGTCCATGCGAGATGAACCCGTCACGTCGAAAGGCAAGGAAGGCCTAGATGACAGGGAGCGGGTGCGAGCAGATGGCGAGCATGAGATCCTACACTGCAAGAGATAGGAAGGAATGCATCGGTGTCAATGTCGAGTGCGACTGTCGTGGTGGCGTGGTGCGAGGGCTAGGCCTGGCGCCACAGTGAGGTGGAGCAAGAGCGAGTTGAACAAGAGCGAGGAGGGACACAACACATGGGCTCAACAACGCATGACATGGCAGCGTACTACGGTGGGGTGACTGTGGTGTAGTGCGGTACGACCACATAGGTGAGTGAGCACATGCGGTGTAACGAGGTGATAATGACGCAATTCGGGAAACGAGATGGCTCGGCATGGTAGTATGGTACAACAATACAAGTTTAGAGTTTAGAAAGTTAAGAACGTGTTTGGGTTTGTGAAAGGATCTAAACAATACCTAGAGGGGGGTGAATAGGCATGTCTAAAAATTTCTGCGTAATTTCAAAGTCAAATGTCAGTGACAGTCGGAAGTCCTGACAGTTTGGGCCAGAATTTTCGACAGCCGAAAGTTTCGAGTTACGGCACCTACGAGAATTTCACTACTAAGTGCTAAAATGAACTTTGAGTGAAAGATATCTTACAACCCCACTCCCTAGTGGTAAGATGAAGTGTTGGGGGTTGCTCCTTTGACGCCGGAAGGTCACCACTCCGTAGATCGAGTCTAAACCCTAAGAGGAGAGTTGGGGAGGAATACAAACCAACAAGAACAAAAATGATAGCACAAATCACAACAACAACAAGCACGCGGGACACAAGAATTTATCCCGAGGTTTGGCAACCCCACAAAGGAGCTCCTACGTCCTCGTTGTTGAGGTGACCACAAAGGTTGAAGTCTCTTCCACCTCCTTGCTTCTCTCAAAGCAACCACAAAGGTTACTTGAACTTTCTACTAAGAAATTGAGGGTAATACAAACTTTCCAAGGCTCTTCTACAAGATGGAAGCTCTTGGGTGATGCCTAGCTGGCTAGGGTTCTAAGAACCCAAGAGTAATAGATGCAAATCCAACTGGCTTGACGAAGAAATCAAGTGCTCAAGCTTGTCAAAGTGATTCTCTCACTCAACCCACTTTCCTTTCACTCAAAACCCTAGGGGAATCAAAGATTGGAGCAAAGGGGAGAGGAGAGGGGCGCCTTGAATGCTTAGGAGTTGTTTTGGACGAAGGTTGGTGAGCAATGAATGAGTGGGTCACGGTTAGAAGAGAGGAGAGAGCTATTTATACTCATAGGTAAATCCAATCATTCAGATCTGAGTCGGAAGTTCCGACACAGATCACCGAAACTTCCGGCACTACACAAAAATACTGTGCACGCAGACAATCCACTGGGCTTGCTCACATATTGTCGGAACTCCCGGCGGTCGCTGGGACTTCCGGCTTCCGTCAGGACTCTCGACAGACATGGCAAGCTAGGCGACTAAGTCCCGAAGCATCGAGACTTCCGGCACCCGGAACTCCCAGCTCCCGTCAGGACTTTCGACGAGCAAAGGTGCGCAGGCGGGCTGTGGCTAAGTCGGCAAGCACCAGGACTTACGGCACCAAACGTCGGGACTTCCGACTACCAAAAGTCCACAAACTATGTCCAAGTGTTCGTGAGGTGATTTTGTGTCTCTCTTTTGATTTTATTTTTATGCTTGAGCACTCTATCTTCCTCAGACCACCTAAACTTGCATCCCTCTTTATAGTACGGCATACCTAAACCCAAAACAAAACAAAAAGGCTTTGGAGAGCGCTTTGGGTTCATCCGTTTTTTGCACTTGAAGAATTGAGGGATATCATTTCATCTTAGATCAACTCTTTTAAAGCTTTCAAGGGACTAAAGCTGCAATATATCTCATTAAAATCTCATTAGTCCCTTATTTGGATGTCATCAATACACCAAAACCCACATAAGGGGCAAATGCACTTTCAATCTCCCCCTTTTTGATAATTGATTACAACCAACTTAGGTTTTCATAAGAATATAAGAATTTAAAGCTTTTGAACCCCAAAATTTATAGAGAGCTCCCCCTTACTATATACAATGAATTTGAATTTCAATGATGATCATCAACACATCACTTGCATATATTAAAAGTAGAAACTCCCCCTAAATTTTGCAATCCATGTGATGCAACAAGTGTATGTGAACAAGTGAATATCCATGAAAAATGAGATACAATATGACATGTTATATTCACACAACAAGTAAAAGAAAATATTATGGCCAAGATCTCAAAGTAACAACTTGAAACAACACATGGCCATCCAAAAAAACATCCACCATTCACATGTAGAGTCTAATAGATATGTAGATAAACATTACTTGTCCTATAATCATCCATCACACACACAAATATAGTTGTCCATCACATAGTGCCACCACACGACATAGTTCATACAAGCTAAAAGTTTTAAAGTCTCACAATCTCCAAGCGACCAACTAACTTATTACAATAAGATCAAAGCCTAACACTCTCCCTTTGTCAACAAGTGCCAAAAAGGGTAGTCCGCGTGAAAGAACCGACCACTGATCGTCATAGTCCTCATCATCATCACGGTCACCACCACCATCATCGTCGTCATCGTCGTCATCATCTTCATCGCGGTACTCCTCATCATCGACATCCATTTGCGACTTGCCATGGGGATGGGGTTGATCGGATGACTCTCCATAGTATTCCTTGCAAGCCTCATCATAAAGCTCAAAAGGATTACGAAGTGGCTCCAAGTCCTGAGGCGGTGCGGAGTGAATGTCAAGCTTCTGCTCAATGCGATGCATCCTCACTAGCATCTCTTGCTCACGCTCAGTACTCGTACAACAAGCTTCAAACATATACTTCATGAACAAATTGAACTTGCTGGGGG